AAGCTACCTAAAAGCAAATGTCCAAAAGCCATTCAACTGATAGTTTCTTATTTCTGACTCGTCATTCAAGATAGAAAAAAGAATATCACCACTGCATTTATTATAAAAATAGTATGATCTAATAGTCACAATTTTTATTTTATTGTGAACAGCTACTTCAGCAGTCCAACAGCACAAGCTTCCACACAGTAACTATGAATGCCAATCTAGTGTGAACTCTACACAGAACAAAACAATTTCCAGCCATCTGTCTCCATCTCCATCTCTGCAGTATGTTCAAGCAGTAAAAATATCTTTGAGGCTGATAATTCAGCACTCCCTTTCATGTAATGGAATGATTCTCACTCAATTAGATAACGAGAAACTGTCGTCTCTGTCAAGAGACATCTCATTTCCATCAATTAGGTTGGGGTATGTCTAGAAACATCACAAGGGACCCTTCTGAATTCACTGCCAGTATGTTCGCTGGCAAAATTCCACCAGTTCATGTTCTGTCATAAGTGTTTTTATTTTCGAATATTAATAAAACCGCAGTATTTGCCTCTTGAAATTTTAAGCACTATAAGCTATTTTTGCTGTTGTCCGCATCTATTGAGAATCTGCAGCTTGCTTCAAATGAGGCTTTAGTTCCAGCAAGAGCCTTTGCAATTGGATTAGTCCTGTGTGAGGAGATGTGTGCGTGCAGTTTTGGCTGAGATGTGGCAGCTTCTGAGCCGCAGAGGGAACGTTGGTGTTGCACTTGGAGCTGCTGTCTCCAGGGAGAGCTCTTCTACCTTCAGGGAATCTCTCCCACTGGAAATATTGACTAACGACTATGGAAAGACTTGACAGCAGATGCTTGCTTTTTATGGCCAGTAAAAACTATCATGTTATTTTCATTTAACCCCCCCTGCGTTTAAAATGTTCATGTTTTAGAATTCAAAAGAACAATACCTAAATTTAATTTTCATGCCTTGTGTGTCTTATTTTATGAGTTGCAATTCCAGATGCATTGTACATTGTCTTAGACGGAGCAATGTGTTGATTTTAGATTGATTTGAAAACTCCGTGCAGACGCTCACGGCACCCTTGGGTAGTTCTCGTGCCACGCCAGTTGAAAAAGCCTGGTCTACAGGCTTTGTTTTGTGGCCTCCCTGGTCTCGGAATATATTCTAGAACTGGCACTCACTTGTGTATGGCATAGAGTATGGAGTATGGCAATGAAACACACTCCAGTCTCTGGGAAGACTGGGCGATGAAGGATCTGGTATCCTCCCTCTGAGAGGGCTGCTGTCGTATGCAGAAAGCTCTCTGGAAGGAATTGGGAAAGGACTTCAAACCTGTTGTGAGCCATATGCCTGCGAGATGTTTCTGTGGCACAGGTGGCGCTCTAGCAGTGGCCCAGCTGTCCCGGCCTCGTGCCTGACCAGTGGTGTGGACATGTAGCAGGAAGAACGATGCTTTTTTTCGGGCTGTATCTGCCACTGACCTCCAGTGGCTCTTTCTGGCACTTGAGTAAGACCAGCAGACCGCAAGCGTTGAGACAAATGCTGTGGTTCCTGAGAAAGCCGAGTGTGACTGCATCTATTTAAAGCTTGATGGGGGACATTCCATCTGCATTTCAACAATATCCTGCTCATGTTTCTGTAAATCTGAAATTCTAATCAGATGCTATTCAGGTTCTTACTCTTGATTTTAAGATTTTTGATCTTAAGGACTTTAGTATGTTCGCCTCCCCTAACAGGAGATTAATTTTAACTGTATTTAGCTCTAATGCATCCAAGTGTTTTCCACAGCACAGACACGTGAAAACACAGGTTTTTCCAGTCCTGTGCACAGAGAAGCTGAAACCCCCAGGTCTGGCAGGATCACCGTGTTCCCCTGAAGTCGAAAGTGTAGGTGTGATATTTCACTTCCTGCCAGTGACAAAGACTAGGGTTTCATGGGCGCTTTGTGAAGATCTAAGGGAAAAAAAAGGTCCCTTCCTGTACATTTGGTTAATGCTTATTCTCCTCTAACACAGGCCCTGCCACTTTCTATTCTTGTCCCTTCTCTAATGTAGTGGCTCTTTACAGATGAGCCTGAGTTTGAAATGTTTTAGTCAATAACAGTTTGTTGGAAGGGTGGACTGGGGAGCGTTTTCATGGTGAATGTGCACTAGCTACAATGAAGACGAGAAGTGTCTGCGGTCCTGTAGACTGGCGGATTCAGGCAGATTCTCTTCCGTCACACTGTTCCATAAAAGACCCCAGTGGAACGTTTCACACAGACAGCTCCTCCTGCATTAAAGGTGTTAGTATTAACATCACTGAGAGTACATGAAGATACAAGTAGAAAGACAAACAGCAAGTAAAAACTGTGTGAATTTCTGTGTAGAAAATACTACCAGATACCTTGAACAGCATTCCACAGTCATAAACAGATAAACTGAATAGGAACATGAACACAACTCTTGTGTTCTGTACAAAGCACAGGGCTCACATATAAAATACTAATGCCTTAAACAACATATTGTTTTTAATTTTTGTATGGTTTGTGATATTGGATTATGTATATTAAACAAATGGGTTTAAGGATTATTTGTGAATTCTGTATAGATAGCATATTTTTTTCCATAATTTCTTTCGGCACAGCAATTACAGAAAAGGGAGTGTGGTATTAATGTGCAGTTTATTCTACATACTAGTGTGACATTATCAGTTTCCCAGGGGTAGGGTTTCATGAGCTTGTTGTGAAAAGGGAAGCTGTTCAGATCTCTGCAGTTCCTCCTGTGGGAGGACTGGCAGGTGTTATCAGCAGTACAGTCACTGGTTTTGACCATTGAACCCCCTTCCTGTGCGCACCACACTGCAGTCTGCTGTTGAGCAGCTGCTCTGATCTTGTTTTACCAAGTGGTATGGAAATCTGAAGATCTGCACAGAGAGCTGCTGAGTAGCTGTTAGGATGTCAGTACATCCCACTGACACAAGTGGGGGTGTAGTCCAGTGTAAGGCACACAGTTAATCTCTTGACTGAAGCTTTGGTAAATAATGAAAGGACTAAGGTCTGCTTTTGTCAGCAGAACTTTATCAATGGCAAAAAAGTGATAATGAGCTCAATGGAGAAGTCTGTTTCACGTAAATACCCCACTGCATTTCTAAACCATGGTTATTCTCACTAAAGATAAAGCTCATCTAGATGAGTATTTTTGCTTCTCATCTGTATTTGTTTAAAACTCTAATGACGTTTTCTCTTTGATGTCTCAACACTGTTAAGAAAGGTTTCCCATTCCTGTGACCTGTGAGCTGCAGGAGAGCTTGATTGACTGAGGTTGTTAACCTTTAAAATTACTTTAAAGCAAACAGCTTCTCCCATGGTGAGCACCCTGCTTTATAATACTGGGTTGTTGAGGAGAAGCTGGGGAGTCGTTTTTGGTTACCTTTTAAATGAATGAAAGGACAGAGCTTGGATGTGACCATGGATGAGTCTTAGAAGATTGTTGAAAACTGTCCATAACTGACAACTGGAAATGCTGTGGTCATGATGGATGTAAAGTCAAATTATTGCCTGTGGCATCACCCTGATTTTGTCATCTTCTACAAAAAAGTAGTCAGACTGTCATGAGACATGACAGTCATTTATAGTCATTCCCTTCAGACAGTCTAGAGTGAGTAATGTGTGATATATTGCCAAAAATTATTTTGGTGTGAAAGTTAACTTTATTTCCTTAATGCCCAACTGGATCTTCTTATTTCTTTTGGTTTTTGAATCTCTGTTTTTTTTTTCATGGTAGCTGTCTGGCTTTAGATAATATTGTACATTTACAGGTATTTCTTTGCTATAAAACGCAGTCAGTTTGCTTTATTTTATTCGTCATTGGCAACTGCTGTTCATTCTGCCTTTGTTAGTGTGGAGTGTATTCAAATATTTGGATTTGGAAGAATATACATTGTGTTTCCTCTTACCATCCCTTGCGGTCTCTTGCATAGATGATTGTTTAAGGTTTCAAACCACAGTTAGTCCCTTATAAACAGTGGTTCCAAAGGATTAAAATCCAGTATATAATCTGTATTTTTTTGCTTTGTTTTTTTTTTCTAGACTTTCTTAAATGTCGAGGCAGAATTATTCAAACCTGCAGGTTTGTACCTTTTAAAGGTAAAGTCCAGTTGGAAAAATCGTTAAGTTAGGAAATTTGAGCTCCACTGTAATTTTTTTTTATTTTGCTCTCACACACCTGCAACTGCATTGGTATAGATGGTTGGCATGAAGCCAAAGCCTAGTGATGAGCCTGACATCACAGGCTGCTTCTCAGGGATTATGCAATGTCTGAATTTTCTTCCACAATGCTTGTCATTGAGTCAGGCATGAGTCAGACCAGACTGTTTTTCACAAGATTATACAATCAGGGATCTAAGTCAAAGATGAGGGTTTCAGAGCAAAGATCTGCAGCGTCTTTGAAAATGCTTCATGTTTTGCATTCATTAAATGTTTTAAACAAAAGTTTTGGAGGAAGAACAGCAACCAAGTTCCTCTTCACAACTGGTGCTTGTAATCCTCCTTGACATCACTTCCTAAAATGGTGAAGGCCGTCTTTCTGCATCCCTGCTGCAACCCAACTCTTCGGGCCAAAGCTAACAATTGTGATCTGTTTACTGTTGTCTGGAATAGCTAAAAAAATGGGGAAAAAAAGATTAGAAAAAGTGTCTACGTTCTGAGCTGTTTTCTCTGCGTGTTAAGAGAGGTGACTAATGTAAACATGAGCCAGAGCATCTGGATTGAAGTTGTGTTGTCAAGCAAATTTCAAGGTCTTGTCTTACATCATTTTCAAAGGACAGTTCTACTCGGACGAAATTAGCTGTTGTATGTTATAATACTTGTTTAACATACTGCGGTAGCTTCAATACCATTTTTATGTAACGCTGCCGTGTGTATTGTCAGTTTGATGTGGCTTGAGATCAGCTGGTGGTATTCCAACATGATGTGAGCATCGGAGAGGGTGTTTTCAGCATCTTAAGTGCAGATCTTTGACTTTTGTCTTGCAGTCATTCCAGACACCCTGAGTGTCGTGTCTGCGGCCCAGACTGTTAACAAAGTGGAGGGGGACTCCCTGCAGCTGACCTGCGAGGTGTCCAAGCAGACCTCTCAGCACAGCCATGTCTCCGTGGCCTGGTTCCTGCTCGCCTCCGAGCAGAGCGCCCCCCAGGACGTCGTCAACCTGTCCAAGGACTTCGTGCTGCGCTCTGGGAGCCCCTACAAGCAGCGGTTCTCTTCCGGAGATGTGAGGCTGGACAAGACCAGCAGCACGGCCTACAGATTGAGCATCTACAAGCTGCAGCCCTCAGACCAGGGGGAGATCTACTGTGAGGCAGCTGAGTGGATCCAGGATCCCGACAGATCCTGGTTCGCCATGACTAGAAAGAAGTCGGAGAAAACAGTCGTCAACGTGCAGCCTACAGGTGTGTATGAGCCTTATCTCTGAAAGGGCGGCCGGTATGAGGTAACTGGTAGGGATAGGTCTTGCGTGACAGAAGATGTAAATGGTTTAGCTTGAGTTTAAAATGTTCCAGATGTATTCTACATTTCTAAGACATCTCTCCTCTTAATTATCTTTGCTGCCACGGAGTAATACAGATCCTGCTGGTGTTTTCTGAAGTTTTGAGGATCCCTGTCCATGTATGGAGATCTGGTTAGTGGGGATTTACAATAAGAGGAGAGAAATGGGGCTCTTTATTGACCGGAGGTAATTAGGGGATACCATGACTGTTTTGCTCAGGTTTGTTTAAGGCCAATGGTTCTTTCTTATTTGTCTAAAAGGTGTAGATCGGTAAATGCTCTAAAAGCAGAACAGGCATTACAAAATGATTTGGGATCAGCTGGGACTTCGATGGCTGCTCCAAGTGAAAATCCGTGTAAACAAGTACTGAATATCAGTATAAATACAAAATTATTCATCTTTGTGCAAGATGGATTTCGAAACCTGTTTTGACCAATTTACATTTATTTACAGCAAAAGGTTTCACAGTAGGAGATCAAACAGATTCTGGTTCCAGTGTTGCATTAGTGTTACTTTTTGCTTAAAAGAGCTCTTGATCAACATGTCTAAACAAGACCAGTGTTAAGATTTTCTCACGGCTAAAATACAGCTTTGCGAATCTCTTGCTATGACAGCAGTGTAATTACTTTGCAGAATTTAACTGTGCTACTCATCCACATTTGATGAGAATTTGCTGTGACATTTCTGATCAAATATTCTTGAGAATCTCAGGTCTGGAGGAGGTCTGTATTAATTCTGGGCTTTATTAGACATTACTCTCTTGAGAACAGTTTGAGTCTTTGGAAACTTTCAAGGACATTTGCTTCACATCTGATTTCGAGTTACACAGAATGCAGATTATGGTGATTTACTTTAAACTATTCTCAGGATTTATATCAATATATCAAATCCTTGTTATATTAAGAAAAAAAACACTACTATTTGGTAAAAGCTGGTTCTTTGAATAAAGGTAAGGTATTAGAAAAATGTCAAATTTTGAATAAGAAAGCACTGCTATTTTGCAGTGTTACATAAATTAAAATTCATAAGGTATTCAGAATACTTCCAGTAAAAAAATATTTGCATTGCTTTCAAATTCCCAGACAAAATCCAAACTGAATATGTGAGTGTTTAGTCTCCATTCACTCTGAAAAATGTATTTTTGTTTAAAGTGTGACATTTGTACCATGCTAAAAATGTAGTTTGTGGTTACAAGTCTTTCTCTCTTTTCCATTTAACTTTCGATCTCTTCTACAGTATGAGTTTGAGAGATTTTGAATTAGATTTCTTTCATAGATGTTTTTGTCCAAACAATTGAAATGTCACATTTCTCAAGAATTAAAGATCAAATGGAACTGACAGTGAAGGAGCAATTCTCATATCACAGCAAGATGGGTCATAGTGAAACATTGAAGTAAGTTAAATTGTTCAGAACATTTGCCTTTTTAAGTTTTAGTACATATGCGCACATTTCACAGAGATGTCTGTGCTCTCTATTGTCCTCTTTAATGTTACTTTTAAAACAGACCGGTGACGTTTTTTTCAAAGATAAAATTATCCGTCTGATCATGCTTTGGTGATAATTTATCCTGTTGAGAAAAGACCTGATAGATTTAAATATTAATCAGAGACATCTTTAATGACTCAGTTATGGAAGTATCATAAAAATGATACTTATTAAATGTAAATATAGGCTAATCTCATACAGATTAGTATGAGAGAAATGGAATGTAGTTTTATTTTATTTTTAGAAGTTTATGAACGCTTGATGTTTGAATGCAGACATAGCCGTGGTTACTCTGAATCTCTAAAGTCTGCAAAATGATCCAGAGCTGGAAAGCTCTCACTGGCCAAAGCCTAATATTTTTATTTAATCTTATTTCATCTCGATCCTCATTAGATTTAGTTTTTCTCTAATATTACCGATTTGACAAAAATTGGAAAATGAATATAAAACATGTTTTTCCAAATAATGGGTTGCCATACAGGTAAACAACATTCAGTTCGGTCTTCTTATGTCTATTTATATATTTATACATGCATACACTGTAGATATATATCCAGACAGAGGTCTTCAGACGCACAAGACTTTTTGAAAGTTTTCATCTCAGATATACAGAAGAAACATAACGAACTCTCTGCTTCTTTCTCAGCATTCTCTGCTCTTCAACATGCTAAGTGATTTTGCCCTTCAAGCTAGCAATTCCCTGGTAAAATGACTTTTCTGACTGTGCACTTAACCGTTCATCGCTGGCGGCTGGATTTGATGAAAGCGTGTATCGCGCCGCGCGGATCCAAGGTGTCGAAACGGACCTGACCTTGTAAACGGGCGGATTGCTGTGCAGCAGCGGAGCGCCCCGAGTCAATCGTTTGTCGCAGATTGCTCTGCGGAGCCGGGCCAGGGAATAAGCACAGTATTAAGCAGTGATGTTTGTTTTGTGTGGGATGCCGGTGATTGGCAGCACCCTGTGTGATGCCCTGAACATGCTGGACACAGTCTTTCCAGAGAGAACTATATTGCTGAACTTCTTTTGGGTACCAATGTCGGTTTCTTCTTCAGCATTGATTTAACTCTGATTCTTGAATCTTTTGCTGAGCCCCTCCCTTATTGGCAGTAACCAGGCGAGAGACCAGCTCGTGTGATTGACGTTGAATAGCTCCAGAGGAGTCTATACTAGGCTCTGCCCTATGTAGTTGATCTTGAAACCTGATGTTTCCATGAACCTGTGATAATGCCACAATATTTGCAACAGAAACTCTTTTGCGAGTCCCCCAGCCGTGTTTCAGTGATCCTTCATTGTCATACTTTCCATAAGAGATAATGGGTCTGAATGACTTCACCGATTGCTCCGCAATGGATGAATGAGTGGCAGCAATCACATGAGTAAAGGTCTGCTTTTTATTGCATCCTTCCCCGAACACAAATTTAGAAATCCCCAAACGTTTGGTATAAGTAGTTTTCAGGCTTAACTGATGCAATTTTCCAATACAAATGTTGATTTTATTAATGAGTAAGAGAACAGTTTTATCTCATGTCAGGATTCGCAGTCCATTCTAGGGCTTCCAGTGAGGCCATGTGCTTGACTGTGATTTCACCAGAACTGGGTCTCTGAGGGACGGGACTGTGTGTGGGCGATGGGCTGACCCGGTTGGCCATGGTCACACCCAATGATCGTCTTTAATTGCAGTACAAAAGTAAATGAGACCTTCCCCACAGAATCGGAAAAAAAACTCCTCTTCATCCTGCGGAGATTCCTGATGCAGTCTGCCTGTCTCCCTCCCCACAGACAAGGATTTCAGCATTCAGCTCAACACGGAGAGGCGCGCCTACACCGCGGGGGAGCCCCTGGAGCTGCGGTGCAACATCGACGCGCAGGGCGTCCCCGACCGCTTCTTCTCCGTGTCGTGGGTGTTCAGCAGCTCTCCCGTGGCCCTTGTGGGGCCCAATGCTGTCCCCGTGCTCAGCGGGGACTACGTCCAGCGGGAAGCGGCGGGCCAGTTGACCGTGCGGAAGGACGGCGACTCCGTCTACCTGCTGAAGATCCAGCGGCTGCAGCCGGAGGACAGCGGGAAGTACATCTGCCGGGTGACCGAGAGGGAGAAGACAGCCACCGGGGACTTCATCGACAAGAGCAAGCGGTCGAGGAACGTCCAGATCTCCGTCCAGCCGCTGAGTGAGTAACGCTGCCGGAGACGGCTGACCCGGGGTCAGGGGCGCCGATTTCCACCTAGAGATAAGATCAGATCACTTTATTAGGAGTTTGTCTTTTCACGGACCCCAGCTTGCTCTCCATGAGGCACACAGGCAGTGGGAGAGAAGCTGGGGGTCAGAGCGCAGGGTCAGCCATTGTACAGCACCCCTGGAGCAGTCGAGGTGAAGGGCCTTGCTCAGGGGCCCAACAGAGTAGGATTCCTCTGCCGGCTGCGGGATACGAACTGGCAACCTTCCAGCCACATGCACAGATCCTGAGCCACAGAGCCACTGCTCCGCAATGCATCACTAACAATCATTAACCTGTTGTTCTTTTCACGTAGGGAGGTGCAGCTTTGATGTAGCTTGTGCATGTTGGCAGTGAGATGAGTGTTGTTTCTTCAGCCGTTTTAATGCACTTGGCCTTAGGAAGCTATTTAGGATTGAAATATCTGATGATTTTTAAATGTTCCGTTTTCATTCATTTTTGTTTTATTAATGCAAAATGAATCATCATCAAAGTTGCATTATTGTTTTATTTCTGAGACCTTTCTGAGGGACTAAAAGAGCAGTACAGTATCACTGGGCTTGGCTTGCACAGAACGATAAAGAAGGAGAAGAAAAAAAAAGCACAGCAAATCTGGTCAAATTTCTTTGCGAATATATGTTATCAAGATCGGTTACTCTGCATTGTTAAATGCAATACTTTTTAATTGATGTGGCTATGGCTTTTTAAGTTATTCAAATCTCCAACTGGATCCAGGTCTAGATTATAGATTTTTAGTTGACTTGCTAATAGGTACATTTATACAGCAAAACATAGGTGTATGGGGAAATGATGAACAATTAAATAATACATTTGCATAAATACGAAAATGTGCTATATGTCTTTAATATGTTAATTCATATAGTTGTATGTATATAGTTTAGTCTCATAGCCAGTTTTATTTTTTACTAGTATCAGATGTTTTTGTTGCAGGTGAATACAATTAATTTAAGTATGCATAAAAATGAATGCTATAATGCGGCCGTTCCTCTAGGCTGTCATTTGTACTTTGCAGCAAATCCCTGGACTGGATTAATGTATTCTGGTTCAGTGGGAAGTGAACGGTCAGGCTTGAAGGTTAAATTATAGGACCCGACCTGAGTTAAAGCATCTCGATGAGCATCAGATTAATGTCATCTCATCTGATATCCCACACTTATCCCAACACCGGCCGGGGGTCTGCAAACACATCGCACTGCAGGTAGAACAGTTAAGATTTGATCAGTAGAAATTCCCTGAACGACATTTTCTCGTTTTTATAAACATTCTCTCATTGGGCAAAATATGATAATTACTAAGGCACTCAAAAGGTCGTGTAGCTTCTGAGAATGTTTAAACAAGAGTGCTTTACAGAACATTAAGGTAAGCATGGAATCAGGGCTACTCATCTAGAATTTCATTGATGTTTCAAACTACCATTTTCATTGAAGCTAATATTCATGCTGTAACATTTCTGGCTGTGGCATTTTCCATTATTTTCCATAGTTTTTAGTCATGTTTTTTGCTGGTCTTTCATAACACTGTCTTGTGACAGAGTGATAAAGTCCCAATATTCCCTTCTTTGTGTGAAAGTCTGGCCTTCTCTGCCTCTGTTTCTCACATTGATATAAGGAGGGAAGTGTTGGTTTTAAATCAGTTTTATCACATAAGTGTTATGAACATAGGCTACATGTTTTTGAAAGATAATTTGGTTCCAGACTCAGAAACTAATGTTAAAAAAGAAGGAACTTTTACAGTGGAAGCATGAAGGTTAGTGTATTCCCCAGCAGTTGTGACTTCTTTTCTCGTGCTAATTGTGACTTTTTTATCAATCCATCTTACAGAATTGCTCAGATTCACTCATAATTATGTTTAAAAAAAAATCCTAAATGTGCATACATTTTGAAAGCAAGCTCTTTAAGACGATGTTTGACAACCTTTCATTTTTCATGACATTCAGAAAACATGTACTGTACGTATTGAATTCTAACAATATTAATTATATATCTGGTGAAGCAATTAGAAAATAAATTATTGAAGTTATGTTTTTCAGTGATGAGCTTCTAACACACTTCCTCTAAAACAGATAATTGGAGTTGGAAGTAATATTGAATGAATTGCACATAACAGAAATAACAATATGGTATAGTGGCTGCTGTTTACAAATCATGTAACATCTGTTTGTATCATTGACTACCTACTACCTTATGCTCTGCTTTATGAAAGATGACACACAATTTGAAAATAAGTAGCTGTCACATCCAGTAAGATCAATGTCATTTTTTTGTCTTTAACTTGGCATTTGTCTAGAAAGTACAACCACTGCTTGAAATTATTTAAAATGCTGAGGGAGCCCAGATCATATTTTTTGGCCAAGAAAGTTTGAGTTAATGCATCTAAATCTAAATTTCTGCTTTTAGTCAAAAGTTTATTACTGTTATTTGCTTTCAGGTCCATATTTCAAATTCTTGTCTCATTATTTGCCTGTTCCGCCTTAAACTGCTACAGCCGTTTGTAATCTGACAAATGAGCATTTCATCTTGGCTGTTTAACTTTTATTTTCTAATGTGATTTTAGAGTAGAGCTTATAGTACTTCTAGCTAAGCTTAAATCAATTAGATAAATGCCTTTTGTTTTTAACCTTAGGTTGGTACAAAAATGTTTATTCATCACAGTGCATAACCATTGATTTACTGACCAATTTGTTTTAGATGTGAACTCTGTGGAAATGCATGTTTTCTGTGTGGACATTAAAACAGCTGAATGAATGATAACAAAAATGAGTGTTAAACACTTATCAGTTGCACACCAAAATGTCTCGAATTTAAGCCAACACACCACCTTATTGTGACCTTTTACAAGGGCTTATCAGCGCACGTGTATCTGCGGTTTTTAAATGTAGTAAGGGTCCCCCTTTCGCTTTCATTGCCTTCTGCAGGAAGTAACATCACTGTCTCCGTGTCCAGCAACTCCACCAATGTAATAGAAGGAGACGCCATTCACTTCACCTGCTCTGTGCGGTCCACCGTGGACAAGGAGGGGAGCCTGTCCTTCTCCTGGCAGCTGGTGGACAAGCAGGGCTCCACGCAGGACATCGCGGCCGTGGACCAGATCGGCACCGTTCGGCCGGGGCCGTCATACCGCGAGCGCAGCAGCTACGGCGAGATCCGGGTGGAGAGGGTGCGGTCAGACACCTTCACCCTCTCGGTGTACAACACCCTTCCCAAGGACGAGGGCCAGTACAAGTGCGGTGTGGCGGAGTGGGTTTCCAGACCCGACGGGTCCTGGGAAAAGATCGGAGAGAAGTCGGCCGGGAAGCTTGTAACTGTCACTGCGGTCGGTAAGTTCTCTTCCACATGTTTCGTTTTTCTCGTTCATTGCTAGCTCACATTTCACCCTTGCGAGAGCCGCTGCAGTAATCCGCTGCAGCTGTTTTAGAGTCCTTCCTTTGCCTCTCAGGATAGGCTTCAGCCACGGAAAGCAGCGTGGAGGGGAAGCGCTGCCTGCTGCCTCTGTGAGAGAGCGCCTCCGTTCACACCCTGACACGCTCTCACTCTCAGCCCTGCTGAGCTGTTGTGGCAGCTCTTTGGACGGTATATATTCAGATATCACCGTGAGATCAAAATTAAAACCAATATGTAGATGTGCACAGCAAGGGTCTGCAACGGTTGTGAAATGATTTCCTGTCTGTTCCTTGGCGCTTCCTTAAATTGTGGTCTCATGTGTTTGCTCTGTGGCTCGTTCACACCCGGCACACTGGGATGCCTATTAATACCTCCTTCAGTGAGGAATGGGCACCCCAGTCTTCTGAAACGCACAGCAGCTCATTAACAACCCAAGTATGTTATGTACAGCAGTTTAGAAGCACTTCTCTTTCACTGCAGGTAATTTAAAATTCTTTATGCTGGTAAGTGCACTCATGTCCCTGGGGTCTTTTTTTCTCAATTGTATTCTAAGATTACAAATAAAAAAAACAACAAAGATGGGTAAAGCTCCATCCTGTTATTTTTAGGATTGAGCCCATTTTTATTTGTGTCATGCCAAACATGATCTTTTTTATATTTACTACAGGCAAATGTCTCTAGAGGCTCAGCTTTACAAAATTCTGAGCTGCTGAGTATATTAGGGGTTCTTTTTTCATAAACTGCATAGCATTACAAGTGCCCTTTTAAATAAATTATCAGAAAAATAATAGCGTATATACAGCCTGCTCCTGCTGCATTCACTGCTTTCATTTTTTACATGGTGACAGACTTGCAGCTGTATATGCTGCAGTATTTTAACAGATTTGTGTTGTTCGTGCAGGTCTTATCAGTTGGAGAAAAGAGACTTGAACAGGTGTAATCACTTTATATCTGAAGCTTGCTGTTTAATATGTTTGATGTATCAGAGTTTGTAATGAACGTGTCTTCAGACAAGGCTAGATTTTTTATGAAGGGAAGTCTGGAAGAGGTCAGAAGACCAAACCTATTGGATACTGCAGGGGCACCATGGTTAGCATTGCTGCCTCGTAGCTCTGATGCCCAGGGTTCAATTCTGGACCTGGGGGGCTGTCTGTGTGGAGTTTGTATGTTCTCCCCGTGTCTGCATGGGTTTCCTCTGGGTGCTCTGGTTTCCGCCCACAGTCTAAAAGCATAATGTAGTCTTCCGGTGTCCCGTCCAGGATCTGTCTGCCCTTCCCCGTGCCCGTGACTTCCCGGGATAGGCCCCGGCTCCCCCATGACCCTGAACTGGAAGAACGGACGCATGGAATGAGCAGATGCAGTCCCAATCGCTTTGTTGACAAGCTCCTTTAGAAATAGCTCAGTGTGGGATTTTGTGGGTGTCAGAAGCCCCACGTGTTGGCGTTAACACGTTTTTTATTTGGAGGAGAACAGAACGTTCTGTGCAGATTTTCTCACAGGCTGGACTACAGAGCCTTTGAACAAAGTGTCACTTGATGAAAGTGTACAGTACTGTATCAGTACTGCTGAGATCATTTATTTTGTCAGAAGGCAGTTCAAGAAAATCCTAAACCCTGTCAGGAACTTGGCTTGAATTATACACAGGAATCCTCTTTCTCTATCAGATCTGGGAACTTCAGCTGTTATTCCCCCCGGTGGAACCAGGGTTGCAGCAGCAAGCTGGCTGTTCTCTCATCATATAGCAAGAAATCTGTGATTTCAGATCCATTCTGCCTGCTAATTGCTGTGTTCCTAACAGGCCTAAACACCTAAAGAACACATGGGTTAGCACAAACCTAACTAAAATTATAGCCATGGCTGAATATTTGTTTGGGCCTAGATCTTGTGTTTTTCCTGTTTTCAAATTCAATCCCATTAAATAATTTGATTGTGCACCACATGTTCCCATCCCACCTTGCAGAAGTAGCTGTATTTCTTACTGTGCCTGTATAAAAGCAAAGAAAATGGTTTCGATGTCATGGAACGACAGAGTACTGTTTGAAATGTATAGAGAAGCAGCTTGCAAGCAGGAGCCGAAAAGTGAATGCCCCAAGCGTTTTGCAGAACAGTATTTTGAGTTCACGTTGTTTGTATCAGAAATCCTGTCTCTGCACCTGGTTTACATCACAGACTTCAGATGGCTTCACAAAGAAGGCAGGATGAGGACAGGGAGGGGTGTGGAGCTCTGGCTGGTACATGATACATTTCTAGTCCAGCTTCATGAGCTCCTGCAAGCCAGCTAGAGTATATACAGTACAGTTCACTGTCCTTAACTGGGTGTCAAAAGAAAATTCAATGCAGGAGCTATTGCAGCTCGTTCAGTTTAGGCTACAGGATGAGTGTCCAATTAAGGGAGAAACACACATGCCACTGTTTGTGGCAGCCTCTCTGGTGCTTGATTTGTGGATTATATTAGAGCACCAGGGGCCTCGCAGAAGTGGCACAGAGCTTTCAGTCCTCACCTTCTTTGTTGTTGTATAATAGCAGGACTTGAAGCCATTTGACAAAGCCAGCGGCTGAGTTGGGTGCATTAAGATACTTGCTCAGGTTCTCAGAAGGTGCTTTTCCAAGGGTCACTGGCAACAGAGGCTGCAGGCAAAATCTCCCTGTACTTCAGACTTCAATTTGAAAAACTATTGGGTTTATAAAAAAGTATTTTTAGGTCAGATATGAAAGTTTCTAGTTAATGGCTGTAGATAATCATAGTAATCATAATAATCATAATAAATGTGCTGAACATTTAATGGAGAATCATCTTTATAGAAAACAAATTTGTCACAAGACATCTGGCACAAGCATCACATTTACCAACAGGTTTTACTTAATCGCAGCTTTCTGTGCTTTCTGTTTCTTTTCTCTCTTTTCCTCTCTTCCTGTGCAATATAGTGTTTTTATTTTAGGCAGAATAAGTTATCTGTATTCAAGACTGATAGCAATTAAAATAAAGACATCTACTGTCGGAAGAGATTAACAAATTGCAACTGGCTGCTAAACTAATGGTTCTCTTAATCTGCTTAGGTATTTTGCTGTGTGATGAATGAATTGGTTTGTGTGCTTTAGGTCACCTTGCCCCTGTTATTGCCCCTTTCTAAACTGAAAATGTAGCAAAGGATTTTCGTAGAGAAGATCGGTAACATCTTTACACCCTACAGCCTCAGCCTGGTATATTTTAATGAGGGAAAGTGAAGAGATTTGTGCTTGAATAGATCTGCGCTCCAAACAGAAGCTGCCAAAATCCGAGCCATCCCTATCTTCACACCAAGGCCTAGAATATGAAAGCCGGGTGTACCTATATTCCACAGCACATGCAGCAGCAAGACATCATAACCTGTATTTGTTTAAAATTTTTAATATACAAGTTTCTGTAATCTCATTAATTATTTTTCCAAATGTCTATGCACACAAATGTCTATGATGGTTTTGTGTTAGTAGGCTACATGGCCTAAAGAGCCAAAATAAAACAGCCTTTTCCTACAGTGTACACTGCCAGCATACTCCCAAGAGAAAGCTTGTAGTAAGTCAGATTTTTCAGCATCATTAAGACAAATGAGTGAATATGGATGAACAGAAGAACTGCTGAAGTTCTAATGAATCCCTGACTTATCTCTTAGAGCATCTCAAGATGATGCTTCAGAGCCAGAAATCATTGGAGGGATAATCTGTCTTAATCACTTAATGACAAGTGGCTTCAAGGAATTAGTGTAAATTATTATTTAAACATTTTAACTATATTTTAAATTCTCAGGGAATGTGCTGGAAGTATCTTTATAAAATCTGTTGTGTTTTTCACGGCAGCTTTTTAAGGAGACGACGTATAGTTTTAGTGTTCTTTGAAAGAAGTTTATAAAGTGGTTTATACTTGAAAACATTTGTGAAACTTGAAGCTCTGGGCTTTTCCCGGCGGTCATGTCGAACGGGACGGAAATGCGGTGACTACCGCATCGGAGTACTCACACTGCGATTTTGTTCTCTTAAACCCGCAGAATCCATGTTCTCCATCGTGGCCTCTTCTCGGACTCCAAGCGTGACCTACAACGATTCCTTTGACCTGCAGTGCATCGTCAAGCCCCGCTACAACCGCCTGGTGCCCGTCTCCGTGACCTGGCGCTTCCAGCCCGCCAACGGCACCGAGTTCCGCGACCTGGTCACCTTCACCCGCGACGGCACCCTGCAGTGGGGGGGGCAGCTGTCCGGTTTCGGCACCAGGACCACCATCGACAAGTCGGCCTCCAGCAGCAACTTCCGCCTCGGCGTGAGCCGGGCCAGCAGGCGGGAGTCGGGCACGTACCAGTGCTCCGCCGAGCTGTGGAGGAAGAACTACGACGGCACCTGGGCCAGAGTGACCAATCGCACCTCCAACCCGCTGGGCATCACGGTGATGAAGCCTGGTAAGTTCAGGAATTACGCCTAGGATGCGTTTAAAGACATGAGGACTTGGGAGCTGGCTGGTTCTCTTCAGTGGATAAGGTCACAGTGGTGATTGCTTGATGCCCCAGGCAAGAGACCAGGGTGCCTCACGGAACATGTTATTCTGTAACAGCAGTTTGATTTGACATAGGCTTTTGAAAAATGATGACACGATTCTTAACAGATCAGAAGATTATAAAGAAAACAAAAGCCCAAATGCTGTGTATTCTTTGGTTATGACTTCCTGTTCTTTTTTATTTTGGGATTTTGATTATTCCTGTTGGGGCCCAAATCCGTCAGTGCCCTGTGCACATAATATCAGAATCTAATGAGATTGAGGCTGTTGATAGAAGGGTGTCAACAATGAAGCCAGAAAATTGTTACTTAGCGTGTATTTAACTGAGAAATTCACATTGCGCATTCCTGTTTCTTTAAGTAATGGATGTGCACTCGTACATTTTCACAATCCCTTTATTGTACCTGTGTTCATTTTCTGCTGTGGCTTACAGCTTGAAATACCTGTTCACAAGACGGCGTGTATGAAATGTGTGTTACTCTTTTAATTTAGAGTGAGTGTTCAAAGTTTTTTTTTTAATAAAATTGAATGCCCGTGCCTTATTGTGTGCTATGCTTCAAAATGCTGTAATCATCTCCGAATTGGTCATGAAGAGGGGGAAAAATGAGGCAATGATCTGACTAAAATAGGTACTTCATCCCATTCAAGTAGTGAAGCACCTTTGTTGGCTGTGAGAGGTGATCTTTAACTGTTATCTCCAGGAAGATGGACATTAGCAACGGTGCACATATTTTTCAATCAAATGTAAGGGTCTCATATGACAAATGGAAGTACACTAAAACATTTAATACAACAAATGATCATATTTTCTATTAAAAACCCACTATGGGAGAAAAATGCATCATTTTAAGCACTCCTGAGAAACGTGATTGGTAGTATTAACCTCTTGAAAAGCCCTGTCCCACTCATGAAGGAGGTATAGTTACTGTGATTAAATTAGGCCTAGATAACAACAAACACGGGCCCACTTGTCAATCACATTACAGACCCAGTGCTTAATGACTCCAGTAAATGAAGGGAAAATAAAAAGGTAAAAAAGGAGAAACCTCAAGCAAACAATGGAAGAGCTTGATTTAAAGTTTGTGATTAGCAAATGGGTTGAAGTTTTGCTTTAATACAAGCCTACAGTAGGTCATGCCAATGGGAAAGGGCAGTCTGTTATAAAAAAAGAAATTTGTATTTTTTATGTTAATGTGAACCGTTAACTTAAAAAAAACAACTGAACTCACAAGGTGTGAATCTGGGCTGCTTCTTTGCCATAATAAGGCTGAACGTGCCCCATCACGTCAGGCTTTAAAGACCTGAAAGATGGTTATCGGGAAACGGTGCTTCATCCTAAGGGTCACAACCTCTACTTAGCACATGTAAGCAGTGATCTTCACCACACCCAGGGTCTGAGTCAGGCATGCTGCCCTTCCTGATCTGTATCGATGATTTTAAATTCTGTCTAGAAAGCTGACTAGTTAAATCTGCAGATGATACAGAACTAGAGGGAGGGGCAGAAAGAAATAATGACGGGAGTTACAAAATCACAGATTGGATAGACACATGACAAATATAATTATCACTTATCAGTCCACACAGGTTGTAGGGACATGCAGTACTTTACATGTAAGGCATGAGTGATTCACAGCTGCATGCAAATACGACATGAAAGGGCTTTCTGTGTGTGTATACAGATTCTTCTTTGTCCTTATCCCATCCAGTATTAAAGCAGATGGATCATTTCTGTTTTTAGCAAAGTTGGAATTTAAATCTAGGGAAGTTATGCTCAAGCTTAACAATACACTAAGTAACACCTCGAAGGAGTATTGTGGTCCCTTTTGGCGGCCAGACTGCAAAAAGGATATACATTTTAGAAAGATTTCAATAGTCTTTCCTGGTCTCAGGGAACTGTCATATGCAGCCCAGTTATGAACCATTTATCTATTCAGGCTACAATAAAGGAAATGTAGAGGTTTGATTCAAGTACACTAGAACATAAGAGTATCGATGGGCTCAGTCTGTTTTGCTCATAGCAGAGCTATAGAGGTCTGGAACTGGCTTCCCAGCAGAGTGGTTGGGGCCCGAACGCTGGGTCCCTCCGAGAAGCACCGGGACACAATTTTAAATTCACTTACCTGCCGAACAACTCCGAGCGCAGGAAGGGCCACATGACCGCCCCTCGTCTTTCTTATTTTCCCAGCTACCGCGCCCTGTACGTGCTTTTGGTTTATGACTCTGTGTGCAGTTTAACTGGGTTTTTTGTGTTGTTTCATATTCCCCCTACGCCCTTTTCCTTCCTTATTCCTTATTCCTCACCTCGTGCTTCCGCCTGCTGCCCCCTCCTTTCTTGTTCATTAATTGCTGTCGAGCTGTCAAGAGCCACCGCGTAGGCCAGACCAGGGCTGCTGCGTCTGAGTTCATTTCCTCCTAATGGCATTGAGTGGAGACAATGAGCCGGTAATATATTCCCTCTGTACTGATACACTTCCCAACACGAGCGGAGTAATTAGGGGAGAGTGAGGGAGAGCTCATTTAATCCGGTCCCTCGGGACAGCCGGGAGAAGGCTCCTGGACAAGCGAACGCTGCCGACTCCGCGCAGTTCAGCAATAAAAGAGATCATCGGCGTTGACTCGTTTTGGCCTGTTGTATTGAGCTCTCCTGCAGATTCAATGCCTTAACGACCACGTTAATGTCTTGAAGTGATTTTCAGTGAACTCCAAGGTGTCATTTAAATGGAAAGTGTTACCTGGTATCAGTGCCCTTACAGTTTGCCAAAAAAGTGACCGTCTCTCTTTGACATTTCCAAGTGGTTGGGGAAAAAGGTTAATAGGTTGTATTTTGTCTGTAATCTCTCTTCTTATTTGTGGAATTATTTTTTTTCTTTTTTCTATTACATTTAGTAGACCGTCAGACACAACTTAGAAAAGCTCAAAGCCAAGTATGAGGAGGTGTGATGGAGATGCTCTTGAGTACCCTGTAGGGGAAAGTGCTGCTGGAGGAGTAGAGCATGCTAAATACCACGTGTCATGATAGGTTTTGAGAAGCGTTAACGCTTGTTTTTCAGTGGATTTCTTACTGTAATAACTAATTACAGTACACTTGTGTTGGAATTTTCAAAAGTTAAAAGGAGGTAAATGAGTTTTCTGAAATTTCTGTTATTCAAACTCGTATTGCATTGTCTTAATCAAGTCGGTAATCATTATCTTGTGTTTTGTGTTCTTGACGGCAAAATTAAAAACAAAATAATTTCTATGAGGTCTTTGCTCATACTAGAGACAGAACATATAATACAGATGTTGGTACAACACAAATGAGACTTCAGACTACCAGAATGCTGTATATCGGAAAAACAATGAACTTATACTGTATGTGTTCTGCCTTTTAAAGACAAGGTTGTGTTGTATTTCAGTTTTTTGCCCCAAACTGATTAAAATCAAGTAGTGCCAAATCTTTGAATTTGACTGAATACTCCTGAGCTGGCTTGCTGTACTGTCTGTCTTTGTAGTGAAAATTCATATGCTTACAGCAGGTGCTGGGAAGAAGTTAAGTCTAACTCTAGAATTGGCTGCAGCTTAGGACTGAGCTTCTGGGAGCTCAGTGCGTTAAAGATTCAGAAGGCTTTTATATGCCAATCCTGAATTGACTTCTACAGCTGCCATTACAATTGTCTTTTTCAAGTGGAGCTTTGAAACAGAGCTCCTGTCTCTGGCCATGACGATAAACAGCAAGCCTCGGACTTTGTGTGAGCTAGGCCGAAATATCAATCCCATGACCTCCAGTTCCAAAACAATTCCTTTTATCCAGTTTGAGATGTCATGCTAGCTGGGCGTATCCCGAAGAACACATCAGGCCAGCCTTTTGCTCTAAATGAATCTTATTCACTGAAGAGTAAAAAAGTATTAATTGTAGAGGGAAGATTTGCAATACTTTTTTTTAAAATAACCACTTTATGCAACCCGCCTGATGCAAGTTCACACTTCTAAGGTCTGTTTGAATGCGTACTCTGTATTACACTTCACCACACATTCAAAACCACCTTTTGTTTCTTTTGTTCCTTTCATATAACAGTCAGTAAACTAAACAGAAGAGTCAGTTAATAATCTAATTGGAAATGGCACAAGCTGAATTGCATTGCGGCTTAAGCAGCTTTGTTTAGATGCACAGCTGTTAACTAATTCTGTTAAACTAATTTCAGAAGCCCCTCGTTAATTGCCTTTTGACCTGTGCTTTATTGCATCTCTGGAGTTTTAATGCAATATTAATGCAATAATCATGCAGGTGGAATAACTTCAGTTGCATTCATTTTTGTTACGTTTTCTATGTAGTCTACAGAACTGAGACAGTCCCTTCGGAATGTTATTGGCCAGTGTAATTGTTCAAAGCTCACTAGTGAAAATGAACCTGTCTGTATTCCTTATAATATTCAATGCTCCCTGGTTTTCCTGCAGACGGTGGTGGATCTTGTGCACTGTGCAGTGCAGTTAGTGTAAGTTCCTCACACATTGTCAATGGAGCAATTTACAACGTTTCTGCTGACTGTTCTGTTCATCAGTGATCTATACAAGTTAGACAGAGAGAATCACGCAGCCTTTTCATTTTCAGATTTTCTGGGCCATCCCTTCCTGTTACTGGGATACAGGCCAGGCGGGAGAGCCTTGCACTCTGACAGCCTGAGAGCCTCCCCTAGTGTAGATATTTGTTGTCTCCTCATAAAGTGTGAAGCCTACACAGTGTGTTATGGCAGCAGTTTATCAGCGTCTTTATCAGCAACTACAGCGTCAGTAGACCTTGTTCGGTGTGTTTAGAAAACCTTACGGTCACTATTACAAACTAAAATAAAATCCAAAATGTTTTTTCTACAATAAATCAAAACTTAATTTATTTATACAATTAGTGGCCATGGTTATGCAGTACTTTGC